TACAATAAAGCCTCGTGTAGTTTGCATCAAGCTCTCGAATCCGCCTGGTAATTGGGGTGACCGCGAACGTGGCCTAGGACCCTGGATACTTGAGTTTTCGGGGTCTAACACAAGCATTGAGAACATGGAAAACAAAAGTTCCTATGCTCACTGAGCTCACATCTGGATGGGATGACAGTCAGAGGACATGCAAACATACAAGGAGGAAAGAGCATTCCAGACAATAAGGCAACATGAGCCCACGTGATAGTCTCTCAACCTGTAGGTCAAAACTTTTGGCAAATCTCTATCTCCACAAATATTTACATTATGATTCATAACAGTAGCAAAATTACATTTAGGAAATAGCAACAAAATAATTTTAAGGTTGGGGTCACCACAACATGAGGAACTTATTAAAGGGTCACAGCATTAGGAAGGCTGAGAACCACTATGTTAGAACTGTTTGTAGGGCTTAAGGAGGAAATGTTTAGGACCACAGGGACTGTGTTAATTACTTTTCTTATTGCTGTGACAAAAGCAACTTTGGGGTCGTGGAGTACTTTGGGTCTGTGTTTGAGTATACAGTCCAGATGACTGGGAGGCCATGACAGCAGGATCATGAGGCTGCTGGTCACTAGGTGTCTGTCATTAGGAAGTAGAGGTAGATGACGGTGGGTGAGAAACGTTCATTCTCATGTCCATTGATTACAAGACCTCTCAGCCCATGGAGTGGTGCCAGCCACATTTACAATGAGTCTCCCCACCTCAATTAACCTAACATGGAAACTCCCTCACAGACATGCCCAGAGATGTTTCCAGATTATTCTAAATCACATCAATTTGACAATGGAGATTAAGCTTCACAGAATCTTAGAATGTGAAAGCCAGCCAGCAAAGGGGACTGAAAACAAAAGAATTACAAGTGCCCACTTCCTTTTTAGACATAGAGTAAAGGATTACCAGCCTACAATCCACACTGCCAGATAAGCTAGTAAACAAGGAGGACCCTAAGAGAGACATACATGGTCCCCTGGAGAAGGGGAAAGGGTTACAATCCCCTGAGCAAATTGAGAACATGGGAAGAGGGGGGAGGGAGCTACAAGAATGAGAAGGGAAGAAGAGGAAGGATGCAGAGGTCATGAGGGA